CTGTTTTAAATTTATGATGCTGCTGAAGAGTTATATGCCTGTAGTTACAGTCATTGCAGCACCTAGTCACATGGTCAAAATCCATGCACTTGGCAGTGCACATGCCCTTATGATTTCAAGGGTGCTGTGATTCCCATCCTTTCTATTCTTCCAAACAATAATATTTGCAGTGAAGGCAATTGTTCTGAAGGCTGGAAAGGCTCTTTCAGGAGCTGCAGTAAAAGACAGAAAGATTCAGTGGACCCAGGCATTAAGGAGTGGGGAAAAGGCCAGGGTGTTCCAAGTGTGGTAGGACAGAGAAATTAGGCTGCCAGATGTGATGTATAGGGAGATGGCCCAGGCCTCCAAGGCATGATGAGAGGGGAGAGGACCCAGGCTTCCTGGCTCGTGGCAAGTATGCCGGTGAGTCTATCCCCAGGCAAAGCCTCATAGTCTGCAGCAGTTTTCCATGAATCAGTGGTGCTGAGCCTTCCAAGGACGTGCTCCACTCCCTGAGGCATCCCCACACCATCTCTGAACAATCTGGGTGACTGCTTAACAATCAATACTGGGAGAAACTGGATTGTAGTTGTTGAATGAAATGGCCATATGGGCATTTTGCATAATGACTACTTTGCTCAAGATTCTGGTCCCAATTGTGATTGTTGTCAAAGACTACTATACCTCTTTATATTAAAGTTGTAAAAAGCTATTTCACTAGTTCGTACTTAGATTAGATTCCTTGTCTCAAGGAACACAATCCAATAGAAACCTCTGCAATACTTGCAATACATTATACATTTAGAATATCAATTAATGTCTCAACAAAGAAAGCCCACTATATGCTTCATGTTTTTATATTAAAGAGAACCTAACAAAATAGGAGACAGAAATTCAAAACCTCAACCAAAATTACACTTTTGCAACTCTCTTTTAATTGTTCAAGATGATTTAGGTAGATGACTTACATTCATACAGGATAAAATAAGAAAACAAGAAATAATATTACATAATTCTCCAAATCTTAGTGACTATTTTAGTTTGGTAGTTTATTATGCATCATACATATGCCAGATACAATATTCTTACTTTTGTAATAGTTTTCCATTCTGATGTTCTCTGCTTGTAAACGAAGTTCTTCAAAAGCCTTTATCATTCTCTAAAAATGTAAATAAAATTGGGTAAAAACAAATGTTCCAGAAGAAATTAATATATTCATACTTTATAAAGATATTCAGATTTAATATTAATATTTAGTCACTGTTCATCTTCATTTTTTTAAATCATTACTTTTCTTAGATTTCATTTGTTCAAGCAATAATAAAGTTTTTATATATGGTATGATGGCATACTATTTATTGAGAATTAGTGTGGTATGGTAGTAATGATAGATACGATTGATAATTAAAATTCCATGCTCATCCAGAATCAGTCTATGGGTGACTTTGGACCAGGTTGTTAGGTGGGATATAAAAGAAATAAGTCAATAAACTCTTTCCAAAACATTAAAATGGAACAATCCTCCGGGATTGGGCGGCCTATAAATCGATTTAATAAATAAATAAATAAATAAATAAATAAATAAATAAATAAATAAATAAATAAACAAACATTAGTCAAATATAGCAATAGCACTTGAGACTTATATAGCACTTCACAGTGTTTTACAGCCCTTTCTAAGCGGTTTACAGAGTCAGCATATTGCTCCCAACAATCCAGGTCCTCGTTTTAGTGATCTCAGAAGAATGGAAGGCTGAATCAACCTTGTGCCAGTGAAAATCAAACTGTTGGCAGTCAGGAGAATTATCCTGCAATACTGCCTTTTTACCACTATGACACCATAGTTCGCTGGTCAATACAGTCAATTATATTTTCACTTGTTTTTTGTAACTACCATTTAAAAAACAAATAAGGGGGAAAGGCCACAGCAATTTAGGTATTGATGCATCACCACAATCACTTTCTGCTTTTTGAGGTACTATTTCTTTGATCCCTAGTTAAAAGATCATCTAATGTCCTCAGGGTCCACCTATAGGTACATCACTAAACTACAGGTCTAAACATTTAATTATTTTAAGTATTTTCAGTGTATTACCTCAATGTTATTGTTAAGATCCACATACATTTGTCTGGTTTCTTCTCGTTCACATTCATCTTTAACAAAATTAATGATATGGTAGAGTAAAAAATGTTAGCTTGTCAAATAAAAGGTATCAATAATAATAATACATAATTCAAGTTAGAATTAAATTAGGATTAAATGTTAGGTGTTTAGGACAGAGTATTTTATAATCTGTCATAATAAAGCAAGCTTTTCTGATTGTCCTATCATTTCGTCTATAAATTTTATTTTAAAAAATGCTTTCCTAGCTATCTTCTTGACATTTTTGAATTTTGGTGTTGACAAATACTTTTGAGATCGTCATGGTTAGACATGTAAACAAGCAAATGATTCTTCAAATAAATCAACCAGATTTGAGGCACAAATGATCCAGTTCAAATTACCATACTTAAGACACATTGTAAGGCCTAATCTCTTGAAAAGTCTATAATGCTGGGAAAAGTGGAAGAGAAGACAAGAAAGACTACTAGCAGCAATATGGGAACACTCAACTACGCTGGCGGACTTATGAGATTGGGAACAGATCCTCTTAGAGAAAATCTACCTATGTGAGAACTAAGAATTGACATTGACTTAAAAACACATAATTTATCCATCCATCCATCTATCCATTCTATGCTGAACCAAGTAAACAATTTTAATTTAAGACACCTTTTTTATTTTATAGGTAAAATCCTATTTAGGCATGTTAGTTCTTGAAAAACTGACCAGCCAAGTAGTAGTTCTGAATATAAGGATGACCTTATAGTACATGTAATAAAACATTTTGTGAAGAACCACGTCATATTTTATTTAGAAAATTAGAAAATTAATTAATTAATTTAATATTTTTAACATATAGGTTTTTTTGTTACAATTTAGTGTGGAAAAGATAAATGCTGAAAAGAATATTTACATTTGTTGCACTTCTCTACTGATTGCATACATTTTTCTTTGAGTAAGTTGCACAAATGTCTTGTAGCATTATTTCTGAAGAGGAAAGATAACATTAACATTATATTGCTACCATAGTTCCTTGCTTTACAAAGAAATTTCTTCACAGAGCAATTTAAAAATTCTTCACCTGATTCCAATTAAAGTAAATGACCTAGGCTAGGACCTAACAAAGGAGAGGGAAAGATTTGTGCTGCTGGGCACACATTTTTAAGAGCTTACTTGGTTGTTTTAACAAAATGCTTTGTTGTGGAAGGAAGCTTGCTTATTCATAATGTAACTGTCATACAACCTTTCTCTATGGCTGAGAAGAAATACACACGCTCTTCACCAATCCCTGAACCAGCAGAAAACACTATTGACATTAAATTTGCTATTCTCTTTACCAAATTGTAGCCAACCCCCTATTGCAGGGCTGTCAAACTCCCGGCCTGCGGGTCGGACGTGTCATACACTGGCCACGCCCATGCTGTTTAGTGAAGTGGAGAACAGTCCCAATATGTCACGTGATGCCATGATAACATGAGTTTGACACCTCTGGTCTATTGCCTCTTTTCCCAATCACTGTAAGTTTTCTCACTCCTATCCAATTGAAGGGTGATACAAGTGTAATAAAGGGTGATAAGGTGTAACTTCCAGCTATCCCTGGTAATGTCAGAATAAAGAGAAAATGCTACTTTATCACCAAAATAGTTAAGATTAGCTAAAAATTACCTTACTCATGGGCTATGCTGAGATTATTATTGGGATGCATCAGAAAATATGCTACCTGTGGATATGCTACCAAACTATGGATTTGATGCCATAGTTTGATGAAAGTAGAGAAAACATTTAATTGGTTTGCTTAGCAATAAAAATTATTTATTTAAAAAAAACTGAATGAGATGGGTGATGTAGATGTTGGTCAAGTTTGAAGATTTAACCCACTTCAAAACAGTGGGTTGCCTTTGGCGAGATGGCAGCATACAAGTTTGAAAGAATGAATGAATAAATAAAATTGCATTGATATATGTCAATACTTACTGCAAGGTTGACTTTTGGTTGACTTCTGATATCATCTGGACATATCCATCTCTTTTCTTGATAACAATTTAACAATGGTGTCCTTTCATTTTTCTCACCATTTCAACCATCCCATAGCCCTAGGATTTCCTAATCATTTCCCATTTATGACCATTTATTTAGCAATCATTTGAAGTTATGAAGGTGCTGAAATATCCATAGTCCTTATACTTATGAGTCGTACTTATGATTATTGAACCATGTCCAGGTTGATGTGATTGCAACTTGGACTTTTGGCAACTGGTTCGCATTTATAGTCTCCTGCAATGTCCTGCAGTAATGTGATCATGATTTGCAACATTTGGAAGAATGAGTTCACACTTACAACTATAGTGTTCCTTTACCACAGTAATTCACTTAATGATCATCATAAAAATTGTACTAAAATTGGATCAGATTCAACTTACAACCACAATGACTTAGGACAAAAATTCCAGTCCCTATTGTGATTTTAAATCGAGGATTATCTGGGCTATGAATATATTACTTAGCTTGTTTAAAATCAGCCAATGTCAGAAAGGTATTGCTGCTTGCTATAATCAATAATTTAAGTTCCATAATTTATTTTAGTAATGTTTTACTACTATTACTTACTCTTTTAGAAGTTCATTGTTTTCATGTATTTCATCTTCAAGTTTTAGGCTTAATTTTTCGTTTTCAAACTAAATTCATAAAGATGCAAATGATATGCTTTAGTCTGAGTAAATTGTGACTCCCAAATATAAAAACATGGACTTTTCTTCATGACTTTATTAACGTGTATTTTTTGTCCTGGGTTTGACAGAAAAGTATGCTAGTACAATTTGTGATGCTGTGAAGAAAGTCTTTATTTTTTCTTCCAACATAACATCCAAAACTACCACCAGTTACTCTCCTTAATAATTAGTAGGCCAGATTTTGTTATATGGGCAAAGTGCAAAAACTTTAGACAGCTTACAAGTTGCCTTAGTAACAGTTGCTGGCTTGGTGTTGTTGCATGCCACTAAGTAACTATCACTTGGACTATTTCTGAATACAGCTCTATTGCACTGTGTCTAGTTACAGGCATCATAAAGAAGTTCCAAGAAACAATAGAACATTCCCTACTTGAACTATGCCTATGACTTGTCAATCAGGCTGTAAATAGAAATGGCAGACTGTTACTATTTTTATTCCGGTTCCCAAATATTCGAAAACTGTAAGTGTTGTTACAGTAGTGAAAGAGACTACTGGCCATGAATAGCTATGGTTGTCAGTACTGAAAGTACCCTTTAAAAACAGAAATTACTTTGAGATATACAAACAGCACTCCTTTTTTCCAATCAGTAGAAAACCTGAATGTGTATAACCCTCATAGGGAGAAACAAAGAAAAACCTGTAAAGTATTCTTTTGGGGAAGAACCAGCAATACATATCTGGCAGAACTTAGATCTTAGAATCCAGTATTAATCTTGTTTTAAATACAGTTCTAATATTTAATATTAAATGCATTCATTAGTTATTTTGGGGGTTAATCAGTATCTGAAAACTATTATCCTATGATTGACTTCTTCAGGTTATTCTGATTCTTAATTTAATTCTATTTTAGCAAATATTCTGGGTGAATATAATAAAAAATATTCACATTCCTTTTCAACAACTCTAAAAGTTCTTCCAGATTATATAAAAAATATTGAAAATTCCAAGAACAAAGTGTAATGAACACTCTAACTGACTTTATGATATCATAACTGTATACTCATCATATAATCAGTGGTATTGTTATGTATCAATAGTCTTATCATTATTTTCAAATTCTTGAATCACTATTGTCTTATTCATCAGCAACAAAATTATATTTCAAGATGCAATTACCATAAAAACAAAGATGAGGAGTGGCCATTTCACTTACTAGCTCCTAGGATCCCACTGCAATGGCATGATAACATAACATCTTAATATATCATACATAATATGAAGTCATACTACCATGGTGAAGTTAGAAATACTATCTTTTTTTAAAAGTGCGGAGGGGGAGAGAGAAAGAGAAATCATGTATATTTTTGTAAAACTGAGATAGCAGGATAAGGCAGTTATCAATGCCCGGCAAATGGATTATTTAACAATTTTCTATGTTCACTCTTGGTAGTGAAGGATAAGTCTTACTGTCATTTTTCTATGAATTTTAAAGAATCAAAAATATATAAACATATTCATGATCATAGTGTCTTGACGTGCGCAATCAGTAAAAACAGCTTTGACAAATCTCTGAACTTTTGAATGAGATGAGTTGGGAAACAGAAAGATTATTGTTTACAATTACCCTAACATTCAATGGAAAAATAATAAAACATTCACAGAACTCATCTTAAAATTGCATAATACCTTAAATGTTCAGTTTTTAAAAAAAATATTTTAGTTTATTGCTTTATTTTGAAGTCCATTTCAAAATACAATAAACACTTGCCTGTAATTCTTGAATGGCTTTACGCAATGCTTCAGTAATCTTTCTATTTTCTTGCAATTTTTTCTCTTTTTCCATTAATTCATATTGTATACTGACTTTCCATTTCTTGATCTTTTCTGCTTCTTTGTAAAGCCTTGAATAAAGCTCATTCATTGTCTCCACATTCTACAAAAATAGGTTTCAATGTAATTAATTAATACATGTTATCTCATTTCAGTATTCACATTTGCCATTAAACTTAGGCTTGGATATAGTCAAAATATGCAACATAAAAAGAAGAAACTATAAAATTGTCAATAAAATAGTTTTCTCATCTCAGAAAAAGTTATCCACAACTATTTAAATTATTAAGAACAATGCACTAGTAACATGAAAAAAATGAGATGTCAGTAATTTTCTATAGCTAATTATTTTTTCTTGTAGGTGACTATTTCTTAATAGTACCCTTCAGGAAATTGTATTTATTTCATAACTGTATAAAAAGTTGATTTTTAAAAAAATCTACTTACATGTGTGTATCAAAAAAATATCACTGATCTAAAGCAGTTTAATTTTTAGTCTAAACTAAGTCTGAAATTTTTATCAAAAATACAAGCCTGATGCTATGAGCAGCTTTCTTTAAGGATGGCTAAATTTCATAATCCATGAAACTGTCCTATGTTGTCATGGATAACTATTTAAAATTTTAAAAATTATTAAAGGATAAATTTAGATTAGAGAAGCAAGATAAATGGTATACAGCCTTTGTTCTCATCCATATTTTTCAATATGAATAGTTACATATCCCTCAAAAAAAGTTTTTTTTCTTACTCAGTTTCAAAAGTATTGCTGTACAATGGGCAAAATCAGTAATATCTACATTATCTGCATGTAAGAATTAGCCAAATATTAAAAGTTCATTATTTTCTCTAGAAAGAAAAAAATGCTTGAAGTGATAAAGAATATAATAAACTTGGCACATCTAAACCGTGTATTAACACCTTAAACAATAATGCTGCACAAAGAACTGTTATATTAAAAAATGTGAGCTATTTCATATTGAGTGAAAAACACTTTAATAAGATCATAGAAGTACATATAAAACTGTACTAAAGATTGCATCTTGCCAATACATTACCAGATAAGTAATAAATACACTGAAGAGCTATTTTATACACGAGTAAATAGGATTCTGTATTTTGATAGGAATATTATTTTCATTTTGTTATGGAGTATAACCTGCTGATCTACAATAGTTACCCTTTTATTAACTCACAAAAAAGCAGTAATCAACATAACAAAACTTAATTAATGCAATCCAAATTTTAATACAACTTTTAAATTATAAAATTAACTGACCTCTTGCTCTATGTCAGGCACAAGCTTTACTTTCTGTGGAGAAGGGTCTGTAAAATGAAAGATTTTATTTTGACCATTCAATATAAATATTTCTTTTTTGTAACAATTTTATTAAAGTTTATACTTACAAAGATAAAAATTACAAACTAAGAAAAATACAAAGAATAAAAAGTGTAAAGAGAACATAATGTATAGTAAAAAATATGTATAAGAAAATACCTTCCCCCTTTATCATAACAAGTACAATTTCATTAACATCACTCTAATACAACAAAAGCCCCCTTCCTTCCATATCTCTCTTATCTAGAAATAATTCAATCTTTCAATCATTCTTAAAAACTCATTTAATCCTAATCAACATAGCCCATTAAGATTTTTTTTACAAATTTTACAAATATATAAAAATTGCCTGATATAACAACTATTTTAATCTTAATCAAATGAGCTTATGTTATATTCTTTTACTTGTAGCTCAGTATTTATTTTATTTATTTATTTATTTATTTTATTAACTTGTATGCCGCCCACTCTCGGAAGACTCAGGGCGACTTATAAATAAAAGTAACTTATCACTTGCTCTAAAAATACAGCAGATCTCTTTCCCATCTGATCTTTTATCTATAAATAAATATATAAATAAATATTTAAAGCCTTGTCATTTGGTCCTGGTCAGCAAAAATCAATTAAGATTTTACCAGAAACAACAAAGTATATACTTTAACCTTGATCAAATAAATCAACTTTATTTTACTTCCCTTGCTTTTAAAATCTTATTTTTAATTGCTTTAAACTGTGTCCCAGAATTCTATTTTTCCTGACTCCTCAGAAAGTCTTTCAAAACTTTTGTAAATCCAAAATGAAATAATCTAAGTTATTCTTTTTTGTTATTTGTATATCAATGTTAATTAGTAAATCATTTGTCAGATTCATGTGTACATATATCCAGTGTAACATTTTTACTCATAACATTCTTGTAACCTGTTATTTTTAAAACCATATTTAAATCAGCCTGTCTTATCCAGTAAAGCATGCTCCACTTCTAAAACCTCTTTTAAATCCAATTTTATCATAGCAATTGTAAGAGTAACTTCAGAGTGCATTGTTCCCAAATATTTATGTAGAATAATTTGCTCCATTCTGTATTAGTGGGTCTCTTCTTCTTTACTTATACTTTTAGTTTTTCCTGATTTCCTCTAGCATTAGTCTTCAAAGTGCCATCATATCTAAAGGTTTCTTTCTTGGTCCACAAGATAATTTCTTATACTTATTTCAAAATCATTTTAAAATAAAATTCTAACAACTTTTTTCAAAGGAAAGATTCTTATAGTTAGTTCCAAATCCAAGTGACCCCTTAACACATGTATAACTTTGCAAAATCAATGTTCTAATCACCTTTTTTGCTGTTTATTCCCAATTTTTTTTATTCCAATTCCAGGGAAAAGTAGCATGAAGTACAACTCTCACTTAACAAATATAGACAGGAAAAACCAGTGATTCTTCAAAGCACAACAAATAATAGATGAAACTTGACTGACTGCATAAGTGTGGGTGAGAGTAGGAATGAAGAAACACTAGAAATGGATGGATAATCTATAATTTGTATCTATTAATCTATAATTTGGAAAAAAAATAAGAGAGCCCTCCTTCTACATTGAAAAACTGATGGTGCTGGATGGGACCTGGAACTGCATGAAAAATCATTCAAAAGCTGCTGTTGGTGATATGTTTTGAAGCCTTCAAAATAAGAGTAGACTGTTATGGTATGATATCCAAAAAAGAAGAAAGTAGGAATATTGGAATTGGCTTCTCTCACCTAAATGAGGTGAGAGAAGAGACCCTCTGAATTGTGAAGGTATGTGAGTAGACCCCTCACCTCAATTTAGCCACAAGTGAGAATAGTGCCATACATTGATTTTAAGCTGGATTGGTTGGTATTGTCACTTCTTACAAGAGATACAGGTAAAGTCAAAAATTAAATACAGCAGGGGTTGAAGAAAAGATCTTTATTATTATAGAGTAAAATAACATATTCCTGAAAGCAGTTCAGTTTCTATTCCATCTCATATTGAGCAAAAGTGGCAAGGTGTTGAGTTTTGTAGGACTGTATAATCTCATCTGAAACTCTCCCAACCCCCATTTATTCATTTTTTTCCTTATTCCCAAGGCACTATTCTCACTTGTGGCTAAATTGAGGTGAGGGGTCTACTCACATACCTTCACAATTCAGAGGGTCTCTTCTCTACAATTCTTCACAAGTATTAACTCAAAGTAGAATAGCTCTTGGAGTTTTGTAAAGTAAATACAGTAATATCTGCCATGTTATCTGGTATTGTTTTGATCTTTGGAGTTTTAGGGACTAGATAAAATCATTTGTATAAGTTCCAATATTTCTGACCTGGATCCATTATCAATCTTACTCTTTTGAGCATTTCTGTCCATATTTCAATCTTCTTTTTTGTGGTAAAGCTTTGAGAAAATAGTGGAATAGAGGATGCTAGATAAAGCAGATTATCTAGATCGTGTTTGGGTAGCTTACTCTTTTGAGCACTCTTTGAGAAAAGGAGTGCCACCAATCTTCAAGAAGGCAATGATCTAGCCCTTTCCTGAAGCAGCTGTTCCAAGATTCCAACATTCAACACTATTAGACAATTTCTGTCCATATTCCAATTTTCCTTTTTGTAGTAAGCTTTAGAAAAAGTAGTGGAATAGAAGATGTTAGATAAAGGAGATTATCTGGATTCCTGTATCGAATCTGAACATGACTTGAAAACAGTACTGCTTATTCTGATAGATGGCCGTTGTTGAGATTTGAATGGAGCTAATATGCTCCTCCTTGTAGTTTCACACTTTTAGCAGCATTCTAGTCATCTAGAACACCTACATATGTATGGGGTAGGGAATATCATTTTAAGGTAATTCTGTTCTTTCCTAAATTGATGGTTCCCACTGATAGTCATGGGGGAATTGCAACTGAGCCCATGATTGTCACAACACTTAGCTCTTTCCTATACTATCGAACACTTACATGAAACAACTGGTTTGAATTGAGACCCATCAGTGTGGGCATGATAATGAGATTTAGATCTCCATCTCAAGCTGGAATGAAAATTTTGTCAAGTATCTAGAAGATGTGAGGGACTGCATGGAATGAATCCATGAAAATTATTCATTATTCATCTTGACTGCCAATTTTGTTCTGTTTATTGCTCTAAATGGTCCATGGTGTGAAAGACCAGGTTCGTGATTTTCGAGTTTCCACTGGGAGTTCCTCCTGCTAGAACAGCAAATGAAAGCAACAGCCAAGGAAGTCTTTTCCCAATTTAGACGGATGCTCGAGATAGCAATAGCAATAGCTCTTAGAATTACCGTGTTTCCCAGAAAATACGACCTGTCCTGAAGCTAAAGCCTTGCCACATATTTCGGGTGGGCAAAAATATTAGCCCCCCCCCAAAAAAATAAGCCACCTGGACAATCCTCCCCTCGCCAACCTAGCAATATCCCGAAGGCACCAAGCCGCGGGAACGAGGGGGGGCAACGGAGCTCGCGTTGCTTGGTGCTTTTGGGGAACCATTAGGTCGCTCAGCGGCGCTGTGTCCAGCTGAAGAGGGGGGGTTGCTGGGCAGCTGCTCCCTTGCAACTGGGATCTCGAAGAGCTGGGCACAGCCTCAGGGTCGAATGGCTGTTGCGCTGTTGCAGCAGCAACACAGCAGCCATGAAGTGACCATGCTCACGAGCAGCCATCCGGCAACCCCCCTTTCCAGCCGGGCAAAGTGCTGCTGACCAACCTAGTGGTACCCAGAAGGCACCAAGCAATGCAAGTGCCTGTTTGCGGCACTCCACCTCCCGCAGCTTGGCGCCTTCGGAATGCCCCTAGGTGAATGAAAGGGGCTCTGCATGCCTGGAGGGGGGGGTTGCACGAGCGGCTTTTCCGCTCCCCACTCATATGACTCGCAGGCTCACAATGCTCTTGGCTAACTCTACAGTACCGGCAGAGCCAGGGCATCTCCACTGCTGGCACTGCCCACCACTTGTTTTTTTTTTTTTTTTGCAGATTTCAATGCATGGAGGACGGATTCCGCTCTGGGAGTACGTTCTATGGTAGCATACAACCATAGAGCGTACTCCCAAAGCGGCATCTGTTAGGTAAGCTCCCCGTTAGGAGAACGAGTGCGTGCAGAGAAGCGTAGTGAGAGTGGTGTAGAAGAACGGATAAACCAGCATACGGAGACACTGAATAGTAAAACAGATGGTATTTTACTTCTGTGGAAAATAGAGGTATGGAGAGTCCAATTCATACACAGTTAAGACAGTCAGTCATCAACGTTCTCAGTTAAGGGGTGATCCAACAAACACAGTCCAATATCATATAATCAGTTCAGCACACAAGGTTGTAAATAAGCATAAAGTAGCAAAACTCACAGTAATTCACGATACATCTACAAGCAGTATCCACCGATCAGCGTCTAACAATCAGAGAGCTAATAGTCATTCTGGCTCCATCTTATGGCCGCTTAAGTTAACAGCAACCAATCACATTTACAGCAGTACTTAAAGAAATGGTACTACTATCATGGCTTATATATTGTTAACCCAACTGTTAGACTACATTCCTAACATGGATGATATTATAATGGTTACTAGACTTGATCAATTGCAAAATAGATCATAATTCATTCTGGAAATGTACATACATAGCTGATATCTAAGCTCGTTTAATAATATAT